ATGGGTACTAACAAAGCAGTAATCCGAACGACATTATTATGCTTTACTTATTTTTTGCTGGTCATAATTCATGTTCCACAAAAAAGTGATTTCAACCGTGACACTATATACTATTATTACGAGGCCCACTGAGGAGTAAACCGGGGGAGTATCGATTACAAAAAGAATCATCAGTAAACATATCGCTGAGTACAGTATTTCATTATCTGTGATAGCATCTAACATACACGCAAAAAGTAGAGTCGATTTCGAAGGCTCCTTTTTTTTAGAAACGATCGATTTTAAAAATGTATTTCAAATATAAAATAGGACAACGGAATGTAAATATATAATTATGAATCATTCGAATTATGCATTACTTTGTAATGGTTATATTAATAGAATTGAAAATTAAAAGTTCTAAACTGGACACAAGCCATTTAAATAATTACTCATTTGCATTGAAAATCAATTGAAGTGACACTCCGCTAAATGCTTGTTTAACGTATCTTATAACATGCATATTGATTACAGTAGTAATACTAAATATTATGTAATGATCATCTAAAGAAACATCTGTCAAACGGGTTTTTTAAAGCTAACAGTAAATTAAGTAAAGCATCGTTATATTTTCGTGAACCAAATTCATTGTGAATTATGGTGATAGTTCATCTTATATGACTGAACTATATATCACATATTTTATTCAGTTTGTTGCAGAACAAATAATTACTTACACGGCAGAGTACCGTTAAGTTATCGAGGCTAACTGGGTGCCTCCTAGCCATATGAAGTAACACATCTGGTCAGATGTACTTACATTCATACAGACAGGTGTGGTTGTATAAATGGACACACCTTAGCCCGCCATTTTGTCGTACCAGACATAACATAGCTAAATGTGTAAAACGATCATCCTCAGTAGGAAGTTGCGTTAGCATATATACATACTATTTATGTACGTTCTACTTTGTAGAATATTGCTTTACAAAGTGAATTTAGCGTTGCATCTTTTATATAAGACTAGCTGTGCCCACAGTTGAAATTTATAAGCTATGTGTTATTCTAATGTATAAGCTATATTACTCTAAAGTTTCAACGAAATACGTTCAGCAGTTTTCGCGTGAAAGAGTAAACATCCATCTATCAGTCCATCCATCAATACTTAGAAACTTTCGCGTTTATAATATCAGTAAGATAGTAAGATTCGGAATGTAAGGTATATAGATATATATAATAATAATAGGTATATATATACGACTGTTATCCCAGAGTAGTTATGTACGTTAGATTGACAACTGTCGACGTCGTGGTGAACGCATCACTTAATAATCCCATTTCATCGATATGTTTGAATTCAATATTACAAGTGCGAGTATGTCTCGCCGTCGTATATTAGTGTAATTTGGTATCTATGCTTCCATCACTAAAGAGTCAGTCAGAAATATATATTAAACACAAATACTAAAATTTTTATGTTGTTTTTATTCAAATTAAACACATAACTAAGTATTTCGAATTAGTCTAGCTTAACTGTTGCTTTTTTTAATCTACTTTTTTAAAGATAAAATATAGTCAGTCAGTCAGTCCTCGTCGTAGAATCTATATTAATTTATTTTCATTAATAGTAAATTTCGGTAACAGACACAAAAATTAAACATTTGATGAATCATATGTACTTTCGCATTTTTTATATTAGTCTGGAGATTCATTTTTAAGTAGCAGTCACATATTTTATTTTTAACTACCAAATTACGAGGACACGAATTTTTTTGTTATTTAATAAAACAAGACCTATTTATTCATTTAGCAGGCTTTTTAAAATATAGGTACTTTATTTGCTGCCGCATTTGTCGATTAGCATTTCACAACAGCTGGACTAGCGGTAATGGACATTTAATGAAAATTAAACACGTTTTTACGTAAACAGCGTTATCCTGTCATTATAATTGCTCTGTGTTTAATCAAATTAAAAGACAGCGAATGCATCGATTTTAGATTACGATAAACTCTTATATATTATGTGTACTTTGTTGAAAAAGTTCAGCTATTTTCGGCAAATATTTACCTATCGTCTGGCACCATTTACCTATCCTAACGGTATTTTCAGATGTCTTAACATTTTGATTTTAAACAGTTTTCTCAAAATTAGCATTTGTAGGCCTAGTTCAACAAATAAAAATAAACCAGTTGACTTTAATAGACAATTTATTCAAAAAATCCACTCGAAACGATTTATCGGACATGAAAAATGTTATTTATTAGGTATCTGCCTAATACCCACTGTATGTAAATGAAACGGCAACGCACTGCGGCATTCCATTTGTAATAGAGTTCTCAATCCTCATATTTGCTCTAAAATTTACCTTTTGAATGTAAATATCTTGACCATATGATTTTATTTAAATGCAGATCACAATGACGTGTTACATTACAAGTGATAGAAACGACCTTGGTGGTCTAGCGGTCAAGCACACCGCTTTACGTCCGATGGTCGGGTTCGATTCCTCGCACGGCACACACATTTGTTTTCATGGGTATGATTGTTTGTATCGGTCTGGGTGTTTTCTATGTATAATATGTATGTATTTACAAAAAAAAATATCTATATACTTGTATCAGTTATCTAGTACCCGTATCTAGTAACACAAGCTTTAGATAGCTTAACTTGGGACTAGATGGCGCTGTGTGAATTGTCCTGAGTTTATTATTATTAAGTGATAGAGAACAGACGAGTGAATGCTGCATATGTTTTTTACATTCCCATAAACATTTTCTACCAAGTAATAGTAATTACAATACTTATTGTTGTATGAAGTTATCACAGTAATAATGATCTTAGACATTCCATTCCAATAGCGAGACATTTTAATTACCTATTCTTTAATATCTGGTTTGGTGTTATTACATTTCAACGGTGCGCATGCGTGCTCTTATTTACATAAACGCGCAATTTTCCAACTGGTGGATGGTCATTAGGAGCGATTTGACGACGTGATTGATTACTATACATGCTTCAGCATAGCCTAGTTTACGTAATCAATTAATATTTACGTAAGAAACACTTTCATACTTACCTGGATATTACCCACATTATTATTTATAAGCAATAATAACACATATGTAAATAGCATTTTTTGCGTCTTATACACACGGTTTTACCCACATACCTACTACTCAATACAAAATTTTAATTTACAATGAAGATATAATAGGCTCTTTACTGTACCTATTCAAAATAGCTATAGTAACAATAGGAATTCATTTTAATGATTTCTAAGAGGATATGTTTGTTTAATGGTATTACTCTTTATTTGGTACTATAATAAATTATAATTCTACGAATACCTGCTTGAATAATGACTTGCACTACGAATAGTAATGTTTAGAAATGTAAATCAAGGTTTATGAACAGTACCACGCAAATATGTCTTGGCGGGTGTTGCCTAAAATTTACCACGCACAGTCGGTGTCACTTTTACATTATGTGGTTACACCACGAGAAGTTTTAATTCGTATTTCGGATTATATTTCAGCGTTATTTAATACTGCAAATATGCTGCCATGTGTCGTAAAGCGTGTAGAAGGAAGTGTTATGGCTATTTAAAATTTTGTACGTATTACTTTTCATAATTGTATGAATAACTAAAGTAAACATTTCGTGGCCTAGTGGTTTACTATCTCAATTGGTACCAGGTCGTGAGTTCTAATATAGCGGCTACCAAAAAACATTCATGTGTCAATTTATATTTTCTTCGGTATATTATATTTGACTTCGGTGAAGTGAAAACCAATATTAAAACTAAAAATTATACCGGAAGCCGACAGTGGTCTTGCCTTTGCCCACGTTGGATTCAAATATACCCAGTGAAATATGAGCATGTCAAATGCTGTGTTCACCACTACACCCATAATTGACATTGCCTCTGACTAGGTACACCAGATATTATAGTAGTCATAGTGATATTCTACTATTCATATAATTAAACATTTTTTAAGATGAAACTTATTGACTCGGAAGTGTTAGTGTACTGAATAATCATCGCGTCTCTGCATTAGTAACATGAGAATAATCACGTGCCAGCATATTCGAATGTGCTATGATAGATACATAGCTAAAACGTTTATTTGATTGTTATCATTTATGTACAATTGCAGTTTTATAACTATAAACAATACAGACGTTTGTACGATTGACGTTGGAAGAATATGTGCTTCTCTATACTTTGTTGTTAGCTGGTATATGCTAATGAGACCAAATTGAAGTGATTCTGTAAAAGAGTTACACATCTAGATGTATCTATTATTATTCATGGTACTTACAAGTTACATCAGTAAGTATATGAAGCCAAAAAGGAACTTAATTGAAACTGTAACTGCTTCGTTATAGAAACCAGCCCATAGATAAATTCCGTAGTTTTCTGCATGGGGCAATAATCTTAATACCAACGGCATTCGTAATACATATAAGTATGAAAATACTCTTTGATTCTTCTATGTAGGCTATTAGTTATGATGACTGTAGCGATCACGACAATGCTTTAGAAAAAGTGTGTACGAATTATCTTAATCTTTACATAGTATAAAGCAGTCGTAGATATTTAAAACTATATAACGAATTTTACAGTTTCAGCAATAGATAGAGTGATTATAGGGGAATGAACAGTGCGAAGCTCGGGCGGACAGTTAGTTTCTATATAAAACATCAATTACTTATTTATTTTCAATCGTTACTTAGAGGTTATCGTAATACAACCTATAGTAGTAATCCTAATTATATTAAATTGACTATAATTCATTCTTTTTTAGCCGTGAGTTTTTAGCAATAAGTGGCAAAGGAATAAGACTTCCTGAAAACTGTATTCCGTTCTTAATATCATCTTACCGAAACATAATAATAATTAACTCTAATATTAATATTTCATTAATGCATTTTAGAACTATCATCATATATATATATATATATATATATTAGTTGTGACATTATAATTTCAGAAATAATAAGAGCATTGACATTTCAGGATCCCCGTGGAAGGTCGAGGTAATGGCAGGGCCGGCGGGCGGTGGCGGTGGGGAGCCCACGAAATTAATCCCCGCCCGAGTGCCAGCCGTCTTCGAAATCTGTACCTCCCCGGGAACAGCTACGTTTAACAAAAATGAGGTATGCGTCAAATGAACACTAATTAATAAATCATATCTTCATAAATTAAAGAAAAATATTTAATTTATTTAGTACATCTTACAGATTCTTTTGGTGTAAAAGATTGATTAAATACGTAGAAGAAGATATGTGAAACCTAACATTTATTCAACTGCTAAATTCTACATATATAGCTAATAACACATATCTAGTGTTTAATACCATGCTTTGCGAATGGATCAATCGACTTTGTTTATACTGAATTCTTTATAGTAAACAATATTTTTTTATAATAATATTTACAATATATTTTTTATGCAACTGCAATGCCAAATAAACTGACGACCCCTCTGATGTTAAGTGTGAAACATCGGAAGCTGCCCATAGACATTATAAACTAACGTGAGACCCGTGATACACCTCATGCGTCGCCTTTCCGGAGGACGAAGGCTTTATGCCTCCGTACCTTGCAGTTTCGTTAGTTTATTTTTCCCTTCCCACTTCAAACCAAAACACAGTTTAGAGAGCAAGCTACTTGGCGACTAAAATAGATGTGACAGATGGAATTAATCAAACGACCTTGTCTAGAGTCTAATCGGTAAAGTATAACACACAATGTAATTTTAAATCAAACATCCCCGTATTAAAAGGTTCAGCACCGATAAAACTGAAATAAATTCAAGAGACGACTATTGGTTCAACCCTGCTACGTTGAATTCTAATATGCTCGGCAAAATGTTAAGTTCACCACAACGGCGACACTTTACAATGCTCTGATAATACCTTTGGCTATCCTGGGTTGGAATAGATTACAGTTATTATACATAACTGTAACAGCAAACAAAGTAAGATAACTGTCTTCTCTAAATTTGAACGGCATCACTTTACACCAATGCCTTTTGCATTATACCCATTACCACTCGTGCATTACGTTTACTTTTCTGAATACTACATCTATTATTGTGTCATGTCTTATATTCTAGTAGTCTGATACATCCATATTTTGTACTTTTATTATATCATTCTAAAAAAAGCGAGCTGTTTAGCACCAGAAATTAGTGATTCAGAATATCAAAAGAATTTGGTAGAAAGACATCGTTGCGTAAAATCATGTTTTATTTTTATTTGGATAATATGCATATCTGCAGGTTAGTGTCACCGTGACAGCACCGTCTCGGCGGCCTGTGACGGCTCGAGTTCTGGACGTGGCTGAACGACCTGGAGTCTACCGCATTGAGTTCACACCCGAAGAAGTCGGTACACATCTTATCGATGTAAGTAATAGCCATAAAATCATTATATTCTACTGCAGCTGGTCTGCTCTTGAGTTTTATGTAATCTTAATGATTAATGATTTAAGTAGTGATTTTAATCCAATACATTTGTATAAATTTTTTTAAACGTAAACAGGAGCAAACTTAATGATCACAACGCCATATACTATAGTTCTATGATTCCATACGAAAGATGCTATTAATAAGCTGCCAATGTAGAATTCAAGACTAAAAAATGTGAGAAACGACGCGATTCAGTGTCATTGGATCGCAATTGTTTTCAAAGTAGACCGGAAGATCGCAGATTTATTCTATATGAGAACCTTTCTTGCTAAATACTTTAAATATTAAATATGCAAGTACATTTTTATACCACACTCCGTAATGATAAGACACATAGGTCAGTGAATTTTACTACCCTATTTTTATAAGACATTCAGCAACCTGCACATTTATGTCAAAACTTTATGCTTCATAAAGGACAAAGTTTGAGTCATAAAATGACTAGCTATTTCGAAATAGAAGAATAGTACACTACATATGTATGGACATATACATGAACACAAACTATAAAATATATCTAAGAAGCATAAATTAAATATGTAGTTAACAATATTTATTTTTCTAATATATAGACAAAGATTTGTGTGATATATACATACTGATGTATTTATTATCTCAGTAGCTCCTAAATTATTCGGCATAGATAGCTATTGGATACTGACTTATATTACTTCTTCTTTCTTACATTGAGACTACTCTTCCCATTTATTGATGTTCGAGTGGCAATATTAACAAACCCTTTCTCAAATATCAGTGTCTCGTCATCCAGATGAAATAAAGAGAACGAGACACCTAAATAACTGTACTTACAACTTTAAAAAATTATAGATATGTATGTGTATTTAGTTCACTACTAAAATACTGTAAATCAAAAGCAATCGCTAAATAGCTACATATGTAATAATATATTAGTGTTTATTTATACAGACAACCGACTGTACTTGTCGACAACTTACCCCCAGACCTATTGTTATGCTAATTCAACATTCCAGCGACGCAATAACAAACGACATCCACGCTTTAGTTACCTAGTGTTGGTATTAAAATACTTGTTCTGGAATTGTTCTTCTATTTATTATCCTTACTTTTATTTTCACATTTATATTTAAAACTAACTTTAAGTTTACTACTTTATCATTACTGCCAACTGTCCTTTGTTAACTTCACTTAGGTTAAAGAAAAGATATATAACATAGATATATCTAATAACATAGCAATATAACAAAAAGTGGAACTAATTTCTTAAGTTTATCTTCGCACTCTCTAATTGATTAGATAGACTGGATCTCGTAACACATGGATAACAGAGATATAATTAAGCCTACTGATTGATGATAATGACGACTTCTGTATCGTGAGTAGATCGAGAAACTGAATAACGAATAATAGTTGATTACTTCATATTCATATTATTATTCTTCAGATATTATCCCTTTATTAGGGATCTTCTTGATTTCCATTCAGATCTGGATTCTACAATCACAACAGAACGTGTATTTATTCCATAATATAATGTGATTTCTGTCTCTCTTTTTAATGTCTATTTGCGTCTCCGTTGGCCTTTTTTTCTAAGGACACTTTTAAAAATCTGGTTTATATTTTTATATTTATCATCATATAATTATGTTATTTGAACGCATATATAAATATGGTTGAATTTGGTAATATTCTCAACTAGTACTAATTATTGTAATTAAGCCATATTAAATATGCATTTACAAAACCTAGTGTAATTATTAATGATATTTGTCTATTTATCGCAATAATACACCATTTAATATTACATACACTTATATCAATTCTAAGATTTGGTCACGACATATCCGTTACATTTGGAGAGGGTCGCTGCTGAACCAAAACGACTGGCGCGCCGCGTGCACGGTACATTGAGGACTTACAAAAATACAATATGTTACAGTCCAAAAATGCCGAAAATTAACAGCTTTACCAACTTACCACAGATATGGAAAAATATTTTTACAAATTCTTTATTAAAAAATGCAAATTACCACAGCCCATAATATCTTATATGCTGAAGTAATAAAAGGGTCGTAACATTGTATTACAAGAGAGTGGAAGGAATCCTAAATGTATAAATAAACGAAAGTAGTTAATATTTCTACATATATGGTATACTATAGAGAGGGGAGTCTCATACATATGACCAACTGTGACAAGGATGGAGGGAGGGGTCAAATGTATTTAAGGTCAAATGTGTCAAGGCTATTTAAATAAACTCAATTAAATAAAATAGCTTTAGGAATTATGTTTCTATATCTCGCTTTGATTTCGCTACTAATTATTTTCTAAATACCTAATGACTATGTATATCTTCTATAGAATGTTGCATTTCCAAATGTTGAAGGCGCGCCCTTAATTTTTTTCTTCAGTGTAACAGTACGCGCACACTTCCTTCTGAATAATGAAAATCCAGTATAAGCTCCACTCATGCTCTCACACAACATAGGTTTAAGAAAAAGATTTACCTGCGCGCATGGAAATAATACAGATAATCTTCTAACATACCTATAAAATCCTCGTGTCACAGAGTTTGTTATCGAACTTATCTGACAATTATTTATGAAATTTTTGGAGTTTGTTAAGATAGGCCTGAAAATAAGTCGGACGCAATTTTTATAGCCCTATGTGATTTTTTTTATACTACTATGGTGGCAAACAACCAAACGGTCCATCTGATGGTAAATGGTTACCGTATCCTATGGAGGCCTGATAAACCTGGGGTGTTACGTGCGCGTTGCCAACCCTTAAGAATTGATAAAAGTTGCTCTAGCCAGAAATTATTTATGTGACAAAAGTACGTTTGCGTGATTGACATAATTTTTCTGCACATAGTTATGTAAACATCTCGAACGATTTGGGTGTAGGTATATTTCAATGGGTTTCTACAGAGTTTGTAAATACAATTAGATTCTGTAGTTAGAGCTGCTGTCGGTATGTGACCAAATTTGATTTGCTGAACAATTGACATATTTTTAAGCGGTACTTTTTGTGATGATGTTTGCCGGGTCCGCTAGTCTAGTATATAGACATAAATAATAATAACATGTATTTCGACAGGTTTCAATTGCTGATGACAAAGTAGCTGTGGGTCCACTGGTAGCGAAAGTGTACGATGCCAGTCTCATCAAAGTGACAGATGTCGGTAACGCTATAGTCGGGCAGCAGTGCCAATTTAAAGGTAAAAAACCAAGTACTACTTGGTTTTGTATATAAATGATATAATAACTGAGTAACGTTAGTAACAATAGTTACTTAAGCCACGAACTCCATTATACGAATATCGCCCTAAGTCTACTCGCTCGTCGCAATTGCAATATCGCGAGTCTCGTAAAATACATAAAGAAAATCATGCTAAGAACTAGAACAATTTCCACGTCATGGGCCGCCGTCTCGTGAGTTTTATTAACATTTCCCTCAGTTACTAACCATTTCATGGTTTTTAGTCTTAACGAAATTGAAATGGATTCACATAATGTTCTATTAAACTTTCCTTCCAGTTGATGCAAGTGCGGCAGGAGAAGGACAATTGGAAATTTCTATAAACGAGGGTGAAGTTCCCAATCATGTACAGGTAACAATTTTCAATTTCAATTTTTTACTTATATTTATGCGTTATGGTTATGGTATGCATTTCTGAATTCGAATTAATGATTTTTACTGTTATAAAGATTACTTACACCTGTAATTGTATCTGAGTTAGCTCTAAAATCATTAATTGAAAATATTTATGCGTCCTATCTTTTTTATTAAACATGTATTTTTTTAATTTTACAGGTAGTAGGTGGTGGACGTTGTCTAGTATTTTGGAAGCCAGAAACACCAACGCCTCATAGAGTAGATATAAAATTTAATGGAGAGCCAGTTCCCTCGTCACCATTCGTATTTCATGTCACGGCAGCTCACAGAGTCACTATAGATACATCACAAATTGGTTAGTATCTACTATAGTAATCAAATCATCTGTTAGTCATCATTAAAGTTTTTATAATCTTTACATAGGTATCATATCAATTTATTGTTTAAAACACAGCCCCTATAAAAAATTCGCTACAAGTAAATTTTAGACGACAATAGAATTCTATCAAAATTTTATAGGATCGACCCAAGTGTATACTTTTAAATTATCATTCAGAATCAAACCATTCATTTAGAAACGCAACCTATAATCTGAAGTTTAGAAAACAAACACAGAAATTTAAGTATTTTTTTACGGCTGAAATTCCCACTAAATAAATACATATTATTACGTTTTACGTGAGCGAACTTCAATTGAAATACAGGGCATTATTCTATGGATATGGCAACTCTGCTAGAAATTATACTTACCTAAATAATTTGCGTGGTAGTATTTGCATGACAGCTGACATTTTAAATCTTTTGACGTTTCATATACAAAAAGTATTATGAATGATATATGAATGACAATACTGTAACTGTCATTAAGAATATTTTGATTTGACATGTTTACTTTATTTTAAACAGAACTCGGACTATTATACAATTACAATAATAAATATAATTTTAAATTCACAAATAAAAAAAATAACTTAAAAAGTTCTCGCAAATATTTATTTACACATGTTATGAGTACAATCGCATATGTAAGTGAAATATAGAGTAGATACATATATAAATATTCAGTAATATATATTAAAAATATCTTTTAATATAGGTTGTAATTTAGCTGAAGAAAATAATATTGTGATCACTTAATGGTAGACAACACTTATAGTTATTTATTTAATTACTTTATTTAATAACAAATATGTGTTATTAAATAAAGTAATTAACTCTCTTTTTAAAAATATTATCCAATTGTTTATTAATATTAAAGTTCAAATTAACACTGAATTATATGCAAACATACTCTACTATCTACAGAACTAATACCTGTTGGAGAGTCCGCATCATGCTCAGTGCGAGTGGAAGGCTCAACTGGTGGAGAGCTAACGGTGACAGTCCGTGGTCCCCGAGGCGAGGTTCCCGTGAGGCTGACCGGGGATGTAATCTCTGGACTTGTTGCCAACTTTGTACCCAGGGCTGTTGGGCCACATACACTCACAGCACATTATAATAGTCAACCCATACCAGTGAGTGAATATTTTAATTTTTTACTTATTTCTGTAATTTAAATCTTTTAGTTCAATTTTAATTCCACTTGTTTTCCATAAATAAATATTGTTAATATTGAAGTTATGGTGTGAATGCTTGACATGCATTTGCAGTGTATATTTGAATAAGCTTACACATATTACTGTCTATTCCTTCCTTTCTATTAAATACTACCAAGAGCATGTACTTTTAATAGATTAGTATCATACACATTGAAAATAAACAACAACTGTACATTGGATATTTTCATTTACACCTAATAATGTGCAACATACTTTTTTTTAATTAATAATGACTGTATTTTACTTACATTTAATGTACATTTATTTTCAGGGCACACCATTTGTGTGCAAGGCATATGATGGAAAATTAGTCAGTGTGACGGGTGGCTCATCAGCCCGTGTGGGTGTCCCAGTACAACTTGCAGTGGATGCAGCTCAAGCTGGAGAGGGAAACCTTGAAATCACAGTCGCTGCTCATGGACTGAATATACCCACACAAGTACACCCACAGGTAAATAATTTAAATTAATTGAGAAATTGTATATTTTAAATTTATTGATGTCTGTTAAGTCAGTTTTAATTATATATTTATTTTTTTGAGCTTGTACTTGTAAGATAGTACATACAATCTCATGCTTTCAAGTATCTCTTGTTGTTTTGACTTAGCAAATGTTAATATGAGTACAATTTTTCATTCCATACTTCGAATATAATCATAATTGATATTAATATGTAATATTGTAAATAACTTTTTTGTATTTTGAATATTTTCAGGGCAATGCTAGATTTACAGTATCATTCACACCAACAGAAGCTTGCGACCATGTTGTCAATGTGTCTTTTAATAAGGTAAGATTATATTTATGTACCTACATGTATACTCCCTCACAAAGAGCATATGCTCAATAATAAACATTGACTCTGCTTTGCCCCAGCATTAAATCCGAGGGCAACCGCCAGGTAGCTGGGTTGTAAGCCTCTTAGGGTAGGGATGGACTTACAAAGAAAACTGGACTAAATAATTAAACTAAACCTTTAATCTAACTTAAGCATTACTGGCACTTACAGAATAACTTATAATTACGGTATGTCATTGATTAGACTGACTTTATTGCTTAACAGATGCGTGTACCGGGCTGCCCGCTCGTGATCGTGGTGTCAGAGGGTAGCGGTGGCGGAGCCCGCGTGACTTTACCCGGTCCCGCGCCACTACACCAACCCGCCGCGCTCACGCTTCATCACCCTACCGCCACACTCGATCAGATCGAAGTCAACGTCGAGGGTGAGTGCACTAACCTGTAAACTGCTAGAGTAGATATAAAGAGGAGATGGCATAGCATATCTTTATGGTACAGACTGTTGTCTTCTACCACTAAAAGGAATTTATGCAAAGTATTTTTCAATACGAAATATGGTGTACTAGTTTAGTTCTCAATAAAGCCTCATACAATAAAATTCAAATTCAATGCTACATACTCATACAAGCTACATAAAATTTTACATTTACTTTCCTCTTTTACTATAAATTAATATAGATTGGACATAAGTCATTAATTAGTGTGTCCTATGTCAGTTACATTTCTATTTAATTATTCTCTTCTGTATACATTGGGATTTGTTTTTTCTATTACAAATAAGAAACCTTCCACTGAAATTGATGGTGGGGTGATTTTTTATCTGTACAATTGTATTGTATATTTTTACATCCTCATAAAGTATGCCTGTAATGTGAAAATGATGATGTGTTTGATTGTTGTTATGTATATTATAAGTATTTAAGAGGTGGATGTATTTATATTGTAGCTTCTTGTTGCCACTTCATTAATAGATGAATAATAGATTCGTATTATGTTTAATTAGTACAATAAATTATTAAATTTAACTAAAATATTTAGGTAGGTATCAATATAATTAATTCTTTTTTACAGGGTGGTATAAATTTAAGAAAAAATGAAAATTTTCTTTGATTGAATGAAGAAAATATTGAAATTAAAATATAACAGAAAAAAATAAGGGAAGGGATTAGAACCTTTTAAAAATTAGTAGAAGAACAATCATAATTAAGCTTTGCTACTAACAATGATCCACCTCTTAACTCGCCTCTTCTGTTTGTTTATCACTAATAATAATTTAATTCATCTACATAATATTATTAATTATACACACTGTGTTTAGGGATAAGTTTCAATAGACAGGAAGGTTCCGGTTACGCTTAATTTTGTTGCATCAATGTATAAAGATTCAAATTTCAGATAAACAACTCGAATTCTAGGTATAACATTGACAATCTCATCGCTTCGCTCTAACTCCTAACATTCATTGGGGAAATTAAAAGCGGCGTTTTCTAATGCCGTTATAAAAAAAAATAAAAAAATAAAAATGAAGGGTTAGGAGTCTTAAAAGTGGGGCGTGGCGGTGAGTTGAGCATTGCTCGCTCGCAGGTCCGAACGGAGCGTCTGTGCCGGCCGCGGTGTCATCGGCGGGTGTCGGTGTATTCCGTGCAGAGTTCGTGCCACGAGCAGTTGGCGAACACCGCCTCAATGTGCTTGTCGATTCAGCACCTATACCTGCCAGTCCTTTCCATTTAAAAGTAAGTTAAATATTACATAAGCAAGTCACAAGTTCGATCCCCTTACATTTAAAATTTTTGTATTTAGAATACTGGTTGTCCTTATGTATTATGTATGTAAAAAATATTTCAAAAATTAAAATTCATAGCTCTTAGCTACAATAGTACAAATATCAACTTTAATTTAACGCTCTATTATTATATATTCTGAAATAAAACATAGTAATATGAACAACATCATATTTTCAGGTATACGATGTCAATGCAATAAGAGTTAAGGATGTTGCGCATGGGACTGTCGGAAAACCTGTAACCTTTTTAGGTATGTGAACTCATGTATATCAAACTTCAGAGAATAATCTTTATATATTTGTCCGGGATAATTCAAAAATTTTAACTAGTTTTTTGCTCACATGAAATAGTTTTTATCGATCCTATAACTAAAGAGTTGCAACAACACATAGCACGATCCACTAATAAATACTTCTACTCGTTACCTGTATTTATCAGAACTGCAAAGTCCATTCATATTTTTAAACGACAAGTAAAAGACTTCCTCCTCAATATTTAAATTTCTGTTAGTATGGCATTTTAATTTATATTTAGTTTATTCTATTTAACTTTAAAATTATGTATGTAGTTTATGTAAGTGTATCTAGTTTAATATATGAATATTATTGTGTACATAAATTTTAATTCATATAATATTTATTATTATTTTTCTTTATTATCATTATATATTTGTTACCTGTTAGTTTTCTCCTGTTTATGTCATTTTACCTACCTGTTCGATGTTTCGATCCGTTTCCCTAAGGTTGCCTTGAAAAGATTGCTTTTAGCAATAAGGCCGCCTTATTGTAACGATACATGTGTCCTTTGTTATATTGTTTGTGCTTCTTCTTTACTGTACGTTGCAAATAAAGTATATTCTATCTATCTATATTGACAATATACATTTGATAGAAACACAGTGTTAAACATTTTGCAATTATGTAGTGGAGACGATGGCAGCCGGTCCCGGCAATCTGGAGGTGACTGTAAACGGTGGTCGAGTACCAACAGCTGCGGCCGCGCAGGGCGCTCACACATATGCCATCAGCTTCACTCCAAAGGACCCTCGCCCACACACCGTCGAACTACGTTTCAACGGAGATCACGTACCAGGTATTATATTTAACTTAATTATGTTTTATTGATCTGTATACATCATCCGGGGCTATGTCAATCTAACATTACGCTTGACTTTACGACGTCTGTAGTCCGTTTAAATCTATAGAATATAAAAATAAAGTTCATTACGTATAATCTCTTAGACAGGGAAACAATAATAAAACATGGAATATGATTGTTACTGAATCTCAATTCGAATTTTCATAGAATTAAGTCCTAAATTTTACCATAACTAGTCTCGTATGTCTATATGTGTAAGGTATGCTATTTATCCTACTTTTATTTTTGGCAAGAAAATCCGAACAGTACTGTAACAATATAAAATACTTTTTGAATGCAGGTAGCCCGTTTATATGTCATGTATCGGCGCCGGCGCGTGTAATTGGCGCTGGCTCGGGCGAGTCTCCTGACAAGGTGTCAGTGGGCGATGCATATAAATTCAACGTCGATTCACCCACTTCGCCGCATGTCGAGGTGCTGGGTCCCGCCAGGCGACCAGTCCCTGTACAAGTGAGTAAACATGCTTATTTGTTTTTTTTTCTTTTACCGTGACAGACTTTGTATGAACCTAGTTAACGGTCAAGCTCTTTGCTTTGTAAGCAGTATTACGATTAGAAGACTGACGTATTATAGTGATGGACGATATCTTAGTCCTCACAAATAGCAAACATGCGTTGCTAGTTGTGACCACAGTTTTCACATGAATAGTATATATGAAAACCATACATATGATAACCATATATATGATACACAACAAACTAACGCCTTTATTGTTGGTTGTAAACGCCGTAGAGAGCTTCGCCAAAGTCGGTTGATTTATTATATATTATTATTATAACTGCTAATTCTTACATATGTATATCGAGATGTCTATTTTTAGGACATTAATTAATAAGGCAAGTACAGTGACGAATCAATCAAACATATTATTTCAGGTTTCCGCAGAAGAAACTATTGGTGAAAACGAAGCAAGCAAACGTTATACGATCTCATTTGTTCCGGTTGATGTGGGAGATCACAGTATAGAGGTTAAGACCATTCCATATCTATGTTATATAGTAAATACCATATAATGTTTACTACTGCAAATTGAATTAAATGTTATCTAAGTAGACTAAAATTTCTGCCTACTATATTTATATATATATCCTGTAATTATACTATATATCCTGTAATTTTGTTAAGCAAGCAACCTATTTGTCGATAGAAATAGGTAAGACTCGCTCTTACCTATTTCTATCGACAAATAGGTTGCTTGCTTAACAAAATTACTGGATGAAAGACGTGATATATTAGTTACCCAGAATAACAACGCTTAGGTGAAATCACAGGCATCACATAACAACCTGATGTCCGTATCACAATTAATATAATATTATACACTAATAGTACTACAACAACGGTTACCACTTACCATCAAAAATCCCGTCAGCTTATTTGCAATTCCAATTACATAAAAGGGAGTGGTGTACCGACGCTACTGTGGCACATTACCATGGTGAGTGTGGTGACCACAAAGACAATATTATTTTTATATATTAGTTCTTAAGATAATATATATATATATAATATGGGTCAATATTGTTATGTAAATAAGTTGCCTGAAACAAATTACTAAAGCGGCCTTTATTTTGTAATCCGGTAACAGGTTCGAGCGGGTACAACAGGTGGACACGTGGAAGGCAGCCCGTTCCTGGTGAAAGCGTACAGCGCGGCGCGTGTATCCGTCACCGATATATCTCCCGGGCTCGTCGGTCGTCCGGTGTCATTCACCATTAATGCCTCACATGCCGGTAACCGCACTGGGCTATATAGAACATCATTGTTGTTATTATAGATTATCTTATTGTATATATCTCTAAATTATTTTAGTTTCAATTCAAATATCTTTACTTCGTGTAGGTCTGTTATACAGATTAATTATCTGTCTGGTAATTCAAATTACCGCCAGTTCTGGAAGTACTAGTTTGTTTTTTTTATTGATACCACAATGTTAAGACCACATATAATAAGCTTATAAATTAATAGTCTGATTTATCACATATAAAGTTTTCCTATTTGTTGAACAAAAATGTTTTCAGTTAAGTTTTATTTCATACCATATTAGTGTGGAAGCATATTATTTATTGTTGTGTCTTTATTATAGGTGCCGGAAATTTAGAAATAATAGTAGCTGTGAATGGAAGAAATGTGCCAAATTATGTTCAAAGTGAAGGAAACGCCAGATTCAAGGTAATTTTATTATTTTAGTAAAATTTTAATTTAAGTTATATTTTAATTATAATAGAGCATTGAATAGATACATAAAACTTGTTTTAATTTAAGTTTTCAAACAGTAACTGAAATTTTCATTGATGCAATTTATTGTGAAGTTTAATTTAATAAACATGTAATCAAATTGGCTATGCGGTTTTAGTTTAGGACTAATTCTTTGACGACGATACTACCAAATGGAGTTTAATGTTTATAATAGTACTGCAGATAGCTTCTTAGAGCAACTTTTCTACAAACTGTAATATATAGTTCATTATTATATTATATCCACACCTATTGTAATTATGAAAGTGAATAGACAAAGAAATTATTATAGCGCATAATTATTATTATGTTATGATAATTATAACACACGAGGCGAAATTTTAACCCGAGCCTTAGGCGAATGGCAAATACTGGAGTTATAGAATATAATCACAAATTGCCTTTTTAACGCACTCGTGATTTATGAGCTACTTTTCATATCGAAAACCGGTGAAATTAGATCCATTTTGCGATCAAGTGTATTGAAAATATGAGCGTTGGTTGCGGCAGGTGAACTTCAAACCTGTGGAGGCGGCGCTGCACACGCTGTCGGTGCGGTTCAACGGGCACGCGGTGCCGGGCTCGCCCTTCACGTGCGCGGTGTCGGCGCCCGCGCACGCGGCCGATGCACGAGCTTCCGGCCCCGGCCTCACTTCTGCACCGCGCGCCTCTCCTGCAGACCTTCACCTTACGGGATTCCACAGTATGTTAATAATTTTTTGTGTGTAGAAAATCTTGAACACCCGTCGAGACAGCGGATATATTCATAGATTCGACCACCCGTCGTTGCAGCGGGTAGGATATGTGTATATCTTACTCACTAAAAAAAAAACGGTGTATCGGTGCGCCAAGGCAACAAGCCACGGGAAGTACGTTTACATTTTGACTGCTGTAGCTATCTCAGTAAAATGTTTAGAGATGTTAGGTAGATAGATACTTCTTACACCGACATTTAATCGAATTTATATTATAATTTCTGTTGGTATGAGCGATGTTTGTATATAAATAAATCCAATTACAATATATGTAACTGACGCTAATATGTTGCTGCATAGATCTTCGTTATGTAGTTAATGTTACATATTATTATACATTATTCATGTGTAGATATACATGCATTTGTAGTTTCTATACTTAATAGCTATACAACATGTATACATTTAGTATCTGTGTAGTATTGTAGTATATATTTTATATAGGGTCTAAATAAATGTTCTAATGTAGCGCAAATATATAACTACATTGTTCAACATATGATAACGTAGTGTTCGATGTATGACAGCGTCCACCATTATGCACTAAAGTAAATTTTAAAAGCGTTGATATGCGTTCAGAAACGGTATCAAACTTCGAATATAATACTGTCACCGTCCTTGTATGTATTTTTTTTATTTGAAACTGATTATTTACCGGCGTTGAATTCTACTCTAGCGGGCGAGCCAGCGGTATTTGTAACTGGTCCGGGCGGAAGCAGCGTGCGCAGTCGGCTGACGGCGCTAGGAGAGGGCCGCTTCACGGCCACATACACGCCGGAAGCTGTCGGACGACACACCGTGCAGGTCACCTGCGCCGGCCGCCACGTGCCCGGGTCACCCTTCACTTGCAACGTCTACGATGTAAAGAGGGTTAGGGTCACTGGATTGGGACCTGGAGGTATCGTTTTTGGTTTTTCTTCATACACAAACACTCACTACATCTGCATTGTAATTTACGACACATTTCTAAATTAATTTAAAAAATACTCCTCAAGCAAAAATATATGACAAACGAGCAATAAAATTCTTTTTACACTAACACTGAAAATTTTAATTGATTTGATAATAAAATAATTGAATTCTTTAAAATTAAATAATATCACATTACACACGTTTTTATGTACTTTATTCTATTAACATTTTAGAACGCACTTTTGAAATAGTCTTTCTGAAATATTGATATATAATACGAGAGTGATTTCAAAGTGATTGAAAATTGGCTTTTAGGTAAATAACACCTTTTATTGAGAAGAAATTACGCGTCATATAACGATACCTTTTTTCTAATTTCACTTTAGAGTTATTCGTTGGTTTACAGAACTAGAAGGCACATTGGAAGGACTTAGCTTAGATGATGGTGTAGATGAGGAGCGAGGAGTGGAAGTTGGCAAGCCTGTGACGTTCAGTGTGGACGCGGCCGGAGCCGGCGAGGGCACGCTCGAGCTGGTTGTCTCCACACCATCTACAACCGTTAAGGCTGAGGTACATACTCCTTATTAAATCATACAGTACTTAGTAAATACTAGATAATTATTCATACTTATTACTTTTCAAAAAGAAACAGTCAACTGTTATCCCAAATAGGGTGAACGCAATATGTACCATGCTCACATTTTGCTGGGTATATGGGTATCCAAAGTGACAGACGGCAAGCCTAGCGCCGTCTCTCAGATTAATTTTTTATTTCGTTTCGGCGCTTTCGTCACCGAAGAGTCTATCTCGACCAGAAATATGAATAGACACAAAGATTTTTTTTATTCAACCATTTTTTTTATTTGTGATGATGCAGCACTTACTCAATACGGGACATTCACTCACACTTAACCTTTGAACGCTTTTCTATGTGCTGAATACCGACTCTTACAGTAAACAGCAAATGTTTACACAAATTTTGAATACATAACCATTGCTTAAATGCTTGTGATGTACTTTGATAACTATATATCACCGGGTTTACCATATCTATTTAGTAATAGATCAATGTTTAAAGATATAAATATGTACGACCCAGGTAGTGGCGGTGGCTCGCGGTCTGTACGACGTGACGTTCGTGCCCGTGTCACGTGAACCGCACCGTGTCTCTGTCACGTTCAACGAGCAAGCGGTGCCCGGCAGCCCTTTCGTCTGCCGTGTTAGCGAGCCTCACACATATGTGCAGATTGGTTAGTACCTTCATATTTTCACCAGGCTTTTACCCGCCAATTCGTCTTTTTTTTTTGAGAAAAAAGACATGAGTAACGTGTTGCAATTAGTATAACAAACTAGCACTATAGTCTTTTTCAATCTTCGTAGTATGATTGTTATCTTCATTATATACTTAATTTATCTGTTCAGCTATTTTGCCGTGAAAAGGTAACGAACAGACAGACACAGTTTTACGTTTATAATATTGTGTGGATATAACTTTAATGCATACTATACACGCACATGTAAATGACTGTAATTAAATAGATAGTCGAGAAATATATACAAAATATAATGGTACATTTCGCGAACCTGTCTTTTTTACCTGTCAACTATAGCTAATGAATAATTGCAGTGAAAAATTGTGGGCGGTGGAGTGAATATGAAATGAAAAATAACTCGGCATTTTTATATATTACGTAAGAGTAAACTTGCTGAAATACTGATATGTTATATTCAGGTGGCGTAGCGACTGTAGAAATAGACGAGACTCTCCCCGACATTGAAGTACTATCACCAACCGGGACGCGAATAAACGAGGCCCGTATAGAAGACACCGGCCTGCTAACATTCCCTGCGAGTCGTGTCGGTAGATATGTAATCAGAAGCTCGAGAGGACCCATCGCAGAAGTGGAGGCGATAGACGCCGCTGCTGTTAAAGTGCTGTCAATCGGCGACGCTGTTGCACACCGTCCGGCGATATTGACTGGTAATATATATCTATATATATATGATATTTTTATTTTGAATATTGTTTTAATTGTTTACAGCTTGTCAGTTTATAAATTACTAGCTGCCCCGCGCAACTTCGTCTGCATTACACTTACTTAATATTTATCATTATATTTCGCCCAATTTATATCATATCATATTTTTAAATTATAGCTTATGTGTTATTCGGATGTATAACTTTTATTACTGCAAAATTTCATTAAAATCCGTTCGTCAGTTTTTGCATGAAAGAGGAATAAACATCCATCTATATTCACAAACTTTCTCGATTAGAATAGTAATAAGATAAATCTATTGAAGTTTCGCAGTGGAGCTCTTGTAGAAAAAAATGTAGTATGGACGCTTTTAATTATTATTGTTGAATTCAACTCTAGAACACGGCTCGACGAGTTAGCGTATGAAAAGTTGTTACCGTGTAGTGTGAAAGTGAGCTAAACTGAAGTTAGATGAACTATTGTATGCAAAATTTGTGTATGCGGAAAGAACGTCTATTAAAAAACTTCCTAAATGTCGATAAGGTGCCATGTGTGTCACTTCTACGGTTACTTTAAATTGATGTTATTGGCATGATTTTCTCGCTTGCGCTACAGTATACGTATTATTGTATACTGTAGCGCAATATAGTAGTATACGTATTATTGTATGAGCTTAAAGTCAGAGTTAGTTATCATGGCAAATTCACCAAAAAATAACCCTGCAATACCACCAAGCAAACTAACATGGTACAATGTACATGGTCACTCGCAATGGGGTTATTAGTCCACATTACAAACAATCCCAAAAGGCGGTTGTTAATAAGTTAGTGGTGTGCGTGCGCAGTGAGCAGCGCGGGCGCGGGCGCGGGCCGCGTGTCAGCGCGCGTGACGTGCGCGGGACAGAGCGTGCCGCACTCGGTGCGACGGCGCGGCGGCTCGCGGTGCGAGCTCGTGTGGCACCCCGCGCGCGCAGCCCCTCATCGCCTCTCGCTCTACTGGAGCGGAGTCCCGCTCGCACGACAACCGCTCCTCGTCGACGTGCTGCCCGCGCACCACGCGCAAGAGGTGCGTACAGTTATACCCGAGCCCAACATAGAGAAAATGCTGGAGCTACACAATTCCACGATTTTTATTATTGACATGATTCCTCATTAAAAACTGTTTGAGCAGTTAGTTAATTCAGTCATTCATGGGGTAAATTTGTTACCATTATAGTTTGTGAAACTTATTTTATAGTTAATTATTTGAACTGAGTGACTAAGTGTCGTATATTAGATTTTTTTTTAATAAAAGCTTTTAATCTATCGGCCATCTAACAGTACATACACTACATCGAAGGGTATTAGTACTAAGCCGCTAGCACTGTAACGTATTACTAATAAGTAATTGATCCAGCGTGTTATTATTATTCCTGAAAGTAATAATATCTTTTTTATAGAAAAATAGACATGTATTATTTATTACAAAGAATCGACATTCTTTTGTATATACTGTATTAGTAATAGAATAAAATGGTCTATATGTCATTATTTCAGGTATCAGCTTCAGGTCTAGGCCTTTACCAGGCCCAAGTAGGTCGTGTAGCGTCATTCAGTATCGACACGCTGGGCCGGCCGGCGCGAGAGTTCGACGTGGTGGTCTCAGGCCCTGGATCCAGAGCCCTACCTGTCCGCTGCTATCAGACTAAATCCGGCTTGTTGCAAGCAGAGTACACCATTACAGAAGTGGGACAAAGTACTATTGGTAAGTAGTATTCTCTTTTTGTATACGTGTATAGTGTAAAGTATAGAACTATAGACCTGTTTGATTTCTATAGTGTATCTCCAGTATTTTCAGAATACTCTCTAACTCTGTTTTCTACTTTTGCAGAAGTATTACATCTTTCGAAGCCCGTCTCTGGTAGCCCGTACACGTGCGAATCTTTTGATCCTCATAGAGTTATACTGTCTGGTTTGCCTTCTGGTAACATCATTGCACATACGCCTATAAATTTCACAGGTAAGATTTCAATAATGTTGTTTCTAAGATATATAACATATGTATAGTTTATTAAGATTGAGAATGGATCAATGGATATAAATATCAGACTTGTTATATTATTAGTATTGTGATGCTACATAGACGCGAATAGGCAAGTTATTGAATAGAGAATAAAATTATTATTATTAATAGTTCTTATAGAATTGAATGGATTTAAATTCAAGTTGTGTACTGTAATTTAACCAATATGAACACTGCTTTTCAAATTTCAATCTCATTTCTTTAGTGGAAACAAAAGACGCTGGTGTGGGCGAACTGGAAGTAGTATGCGAGGCGACAGGAGAACGTCGTATTCGCGTACCGGTGGACGTGCGCGAAGATGGCCGCACGCATCGCATCAGGCTTCGGCCGTATCTACCCGCACACTACCGCATCTATATCACGTATGGCGGTATGTTCAATCATAATATATAAATACAGAATTGCATACAGCACTTCTTATCTAAAAGCGTCATACGTCACATTATATTTATTTTTTTATATTATTATTTACTTTAAGAAATTTGTATTAATAATGAAATGGGAAATCGCCCAAAATAAATTTAATTATTACGTGTACATGTTTAGGCGTTCAGTATACTTTTAGCTGAAATAATAACATGTATGTGTTATAATAAAATTGTTATATATGAAATGCATTGAACAAAAGAAAAAACTTTACCAGAATTGCCATGATGATGTTCATATCAATATATAGAATATTACCACTCTGGTTGAACTATTCCTTGGTATTGAAGTCAAGCAAAAAAATGGACTCGATTACATTGCACTAGATGTCAAGTTCTATGCTTATTTTTGAAAACTTTGTACAATATACCATTGCGGTGTGTAGGTGCGAGCGTCCCGGGCAGCCCCGTGTCGCTGGGCGTGCTGGGGGCGGGCGCGGGGGGAGCGGCGGGCGCGCGCTGCGCCGGCACCGGGCTCGCACACGCACACGTCGGCAAGGAGGCCGCCTTCACCATACACTGCGCAGACGACACGCCGCCCACCGTACAGGTAAAAATAGCTACTTCTCTACTGCACGCGCTCGTGCACCTGCGCTAAGGCTAGGAGGCCTTTACCATTTACTGCGCAGACGACATGCCACCCACCTTGCAGGTAACGGCTCCTCACTACTGCATGGGCTAGGCAAGGAGGCCGCCATTTCTGTCTACTCAGTGGATGCTGATGGCCTTACATTTCTTACAGGAAACAACAACAATAGAATTGAAAATTATTTATGCATATAAACTTACATTGCAGCACTTTTGAATAGTCATCACATTTTTTTTAATCTACCGCTCATTCGGAACGCTTTCTCATTACAAGAAAAACTAGAAGAACACAAAGAAAGACTAGAAACGACGCAGATATCCCATCTTTGAGTTTTTAGTGAGGTATAAGTCTTGCTTTGCCTCTCACTAGGCAGGCAGTATATTTTAGCAGATAGATTTTTTTCAAGTAAATGAAATAGTGTTATATTATCAAATATAAATTTTGCGAATATAACCCAAATATTTTTTATTAGGTTGAAAGGTTAACGGAGGGCAATGAAGACAACACAGAGTCCGGACTATTAGAGTGTCGCGTGGTTAGCGGCGCGCCTCGCGAGTGGCTCTGCGCGTACATACCGCTCGTGGTGGGGCTGTACGAAGTACGAATATTCACCGCCTCAGGACCTCTCCCCGGAAGTCCGTTCTCCGTAAAAGTAAGTAATGATAACACTGTAATCAATAAATATGCGAAATTACTTTTAAGATGTACTGTTTATGTTTTTAATCTAGGAATCTTATTTGCCGTATCTTACTGACTATAAGAGGCACCGGACGAAAAACCAAACTGTATTATTTAGAGAAAGATTTTTCTTTTTTTTAATAAATATTCGCAATCAACACCAAAGACAAAGAGGTAGGGAGAGTCTCCCGCTTGCATTGAGATAAACCTTTTTTTTATATAGAAAGAAAGTCTTAAAGTCCTTAGAATACGGTATGCTTTGCTATACACAACCAATATGTTACACAGGAAATAATTTTACGAAAGGCGAGTATAACTCTTCTTGTTTTTAAAACTACGAACATTTTATCTTTTTACTTTCTAGTGTAAACCTCTGCCTCTCCTTTTAGCTCCTGTATATTTGTCGTACTATATATTTCTAATTTACAGAAAGTCCTCATTTGTTGCAAACCTGTTTTTAGGTAATAGACACCTCGGCCATAATGCCCGTTGGTGGGTGGGGTGCAGATAACTCTGGCCGCATCCGAGCGCCCTCCAAACTAATTTTGGATACTAGCAATGCTGGACCGGGCACACTGGAATGCTTACTTGGTGGTAGACATCAACGTAAGTTACTGTTGTCATGTAAATTTTTTTTTTAATAACTAAGTACTAAACATATACATTTGCACTTATTATAATGCTAAGACACTTCAATTAAATAAAGTTCAAAAAGTCCGGGAAGAACATATCCTATGTTCTTCGCGGATTTTTTAAACTTTAAGTTACTTTAAGACAGTAGGTAAATCGATAACTCACCATAGCCATTAATAATATTGTTACTACAAGATATAACGAATGAATGTGAATGGTTATAAGGGTAGAGGAAGGCTGAAAAAGAGATGGATGGACTGTGTGAAACATGTTAGGAAAAAGAAAGTATGTAACGAGATGGCTACAAACAGTAGTAAATGGATGAAAAAAACGTAGTACGACTGAACTGAACCAAATGAATAGGATAAGGAAGAAACAGATTAAATATAAAGTTCTTACCAATGAGACTGTACCAGGCGCGGAGTGGAGGATGGAAGTATAAGTTATGAATTGTATGCTGTCGTCCCAGGCGTGGAGACGGTATCTGGGCGCGCAGTGGTGACGCTAGCCGGCGCGGAGGGCGCGGGCGGCGAACAAGAGGTGGAGCTGACATACAACGGCGCGCTAGTGGGCGGGGCGCCGCGCCGGGCCCTGCTGGCTGCGGGCGGCGCCGCCGACCGCGTCACGCTCGCCGGCCGAGGCCTTGCGCACGCAGCACCCCACACGCCCGCAGTCTTCACCGTCGGTCAGTACGCTCGACTCTACTTATAGGATCATGTACTTCGTTTTATAAGTTCTTTTATGTAACTTCAATCTGGTGGTACGTGGGAACCGACTATATGCACAACGGATTTTATATCATATGACATAACAGATGCCCACGCGACAACTTTGTATAGAGTTACCATTATTTTCGCTGTTCTTATAACAAGTAAACCGAAATTGAATGTATGCAACCATCAGCAATATTTATAAGAAACGTTTGAACAGTTTCATTCAAGTTGTTTTATTCTAATTCTAATTTGAGACATAATAATACGAAATCAAATATTAAATCTTACAAAAAAAGAGTTGAACTACTTTAATTAATTTATTTTATTCTTCTTAATTAATTCCTATTTGTGACGTTCGAGCTTAGTTAAATGATTCTTAAATATAGTTATTTTCTTTATCTGATACAATGCAGAGCATAAATAAAATATAAAATATATTTATTTATAATTTCCACAATTAACTAATGTTACATGATATTATACATAGACGGCAGCGCAGCTGGTCCGGGAGCTCCCGAGGCATCGCTAACATCACCTGAGGGGGAGAACATACCGGTGGCACTAGCGGCGGCTGGCCCTGGATTGTGGAGAGCCACCTACACGCCACGCCGCGCTGGCGATCACCAGCTACGGGTGCTGTGGGCTGGTAGACTCGTCAAAGGTAAAGCCATCATGAAGATGGACACGCTTTCACAATCTCATTCAACTTGCTACCTCCTCGTTCGAGTTTTATTTTTGACTCGTTCTCTAGATTGTCTATGAAGTATAAGATACATTTAACATGCACCCGTCATGTAGGAAAACGCGTTTAAAAAGACACAGATAGCTTAATCTCTTATTGAATCTGTATTCGAATCGAAAAGGCAGCTAATGAACAAATTGTACGTATATACAGGTTGTCCGTTAAGCGTCAACGTATCAGCTGGGTCGGAGAGCGGAGACGCGGGGCGGGTGGTGTGCTCGGGCGCGGGGCTGGCGTCGGGCGTGGTGGGTCGCGAGATCCGTTCCTGGATCGACACGCGCCGCGCCGGCCCCGGGGAACTTACCGCGCACTGCACCGGGCCCAACAAGGTACGTATTTACGTGCCGTTACAGATTTTTTTATAAAGGGTATAATGAAATTAATTTTTCTTTCTCGTTCTTCTTGTTTCAAATGAGTGGTAGAATAAAAAAAACTGTGACTGTTCAAAAGTGCTTATATTCAGTTTATTTTAATGAATATTTTTATTTATTTCTATTTCTTATTATCTCTTCGGTTTTAGGTGGCATATTGCGAATTGTATGAACACGGCGACGGTACCTTCACACTGAACGTCAAGCCCGCAGAACCTGGTCGTCATATGCTCAGTATACAATTCGCGGGAGAGCATGTGCCCGGCTCGCCGTTCGTACTCAAAGTTGCTGGGGCACCTGACCCCTCAAAGGTAACTTTAGTTATAATATGTTTTCATATATCATCATGTATTTCTCCAATTATTGTTTACTCGTTTTTATTTGCGATTCTATTCGTTAAAATTGAGATTACACATTTTTGTTATTTAATTTTAAATCATCTTCCCGCCCAAACCCTTTGATTTGGTAGTTAGCATGATTCGTTAAGTTAAAGCTAATATCATTTATTGGTGATTCAACCATCGCAAACGATAAGAAAAGTTACGTGAAGTACAATATCTCCGAACCGCTCTTAGGTCGGTCTATAAATACCATGGCGATTAAATTATTAAGGTATAAAATTGGAAGTTTTCGATCGGAATGTCAGTCAAGGAAATTTGATGTGAAGCATATATGTATAAGATAATTTATAAGCGTAACGTGTATGGCATCAGGTGCGCGTGTGCGGGCCGGGCGTGGAGCCGGGCGTGCTGGCGACGTTCCAGTCGCGATTCTTCTGCGACACGCGCGGCGCCGGCGCCGGACAGCTCACAGTGCGCGTGCGCGGGCCCAAGGGAGCCTTCCGCGTTGAGATGCAGCGCGAGAACCAGAAGGACCGCACCATACTTTGCAAGGTAATAACTAATACGCCGCCTCGATATCGCATTCTAAAAGATTGGCTTTCGTACACTTTATAAAGTATTCGTTACTCGCTTACCTGCGCAACTTAGTCTACATCACACTTAATCATTATGTATATTTTGCCCAATATACATAATATCTTTTTAAATTATAGCCTATGTGTTGTTTTGATGTATAAACTGTAACGTTTCAAATCTAAATGCGTTAAGTAGTGTTTACGTGAAAGAGTAACAAATATCCATCCATTCATATAGACTGATAAACTTTCGCTTTTATAATATTAGTAAGAATGAAACGGCAAGCTGTCGCCGATAGACATGAACAGCACTATGGATATCACGTTATCGAGTAACGCTCGTGGCACCCCTCATGCGTTGTCATTCTAAAAACGGTCACCTTTTTTTTCTGAACGTAACTTATAAAGCACGCTGCTTGACGTTTGAAATAGATGAGATAGAGATGTAAATGCCTCAGTGTCTTGTAATTTGTAATGATAATGTGGAAACATAAAAAACAACCTTTCAGTTTTCGCCAACCGAGCCCGGCGATTACCGCGTAGAAGTTCGATGGGCGGGTCGCCATGTGCCAGGTTCACCGTTCCCGGTTATGATCTTCGACACTCAAGAAGAGCTCCGCCGATATCTACAAGCGACCGCTGCCTGACAATAATGTAACACTAGTACCAAGTCAAACTAGCCGGTGTATACTGTGAGATACAAGTATGCATGTAAGTAGTAGGTGTTGAAAATTAAATTTGTATGGTATGTATGGTACTTTAAGCATTAATATTCGTATGACCTTAAATATTCATTCCGTTATATAGATATGCTTTTATAATTTCAGATTGAATACTCACCTTAAAAATTGTATTTAATGATAATCTTAAATATTTATTGTAATAACCTACATGTATTTTGCTAAACTTCACTTCATGTACTTTAAAACTTTTAAAAATCATATTCTAAGGAGTTAAATTGTAGGACTAGCTGAATCTATTACTGTAGAAAAAGGTTTGGTTTGTTACTTAAAATACCGTTTTAATTAAACCTTCAATATATATACATATTTAATGTTATTTATGTATTGTAACAGAATTACATACCTAATTATCCCTATTCTGAATATACATACGTACGTTGCTAGGTTCAAAATAGCGCCGTTACTGTACAAAGTTTTCTATGGTTATTGAGACATCGTTTATGTATCATACCTGAGTTAAAATAGTAATGCTTAAAGTGTAACTGTACATTGATTGTAAGCATCGTATGCAATGATTTATAGAAATTAAGTTCTGTACAACGCGTTAATTTGTAAATAATTATATTGTTTATTGGCAAACGAGATTGTGTATGGAAGTTTGCAGAGAATATTTCTTACATCAAATTAAGAGTTCTATTTAATATAGCGTTTATTGGTCAAATTTATAGAAGTTGTGTTTTTATTAAACAGCAGCAGTCTTTGAGGTGTATCACATAAAATAATGACCAATAATTATTATTAACAGCTGTATCTCAAAGATATTTTAAAGATTAATTTTTATTTCAATATATTAAATAGGTAATTCAATAATAGAAGAAACCCATGTACTTAATATTAGCATAAAATGCTAGTTGATTTAATAAAACGTTCTTAACCAAGAGATATTAGTACCACTGATATTATTAATCAATAATATTAAGATGTATTTCCCTAAAATACTAAAATTTATTATTATAAAGCACATAATTTTAATAAATCAAATATTATCAGTTAATATTTGTAAAATACTTATGTTAATAAAATTTTCATTTGTTTCTCGCAAGCAAGTACACTCTAATGCAGTTTTAAGCATAATAATTTGTTTAATTGTTAAATTTAATTTATTACTAGCGACTTAACTTATACTCTCACCATCATTTAACTGAATTATAATTAACGACGTAATTATTTTGCTATTTATTACCGGCCATGTATACAATGGAAGTTATATTGTAACTCGGCCGAGAGTTATTACTTAGCTATATATTCAGTTATATACTAATAAAATTATTGTTAATAAATTCAACTTTATTTACTTGTTGCGTTTTATTTCATAAATTCTAAATATATACTATAAACACAATTATTACACAAATCGCTTAGTTTGTGTTCGATCGACATAACTTTGAATTATTTCAATGTGGATAACTTTATACAAAGAAACACAAACGTCTGCAAAGAAAATAATTGTCTCGCCTACATACAATTCCGCCAGAAATGGTTAGCCCTGATGGAGTTAACAAAGCATTGATGATATCATAAGGACATATACAATAGACATTGGGACAATTATTTATTTTTAATGGCGGAATTTAAAAGGAACCAACATTTTTGTAATATACATACAGGAACCACAGGGCTTGTGGAGTAAAATATATAAACACAGTAAATGGTTCCTGACTATAAAGTTTGTTTGGTAACAAGAGGCAACAATCATATGATGTACTGTGAATACAATGTATTATATAGTAAGGGGTAGTTTTAAGAATGAGTCCACCGACAAACATTTATTTATATGTATTCTATAAAAATAATTGGTACACTTGTAGGTAATTGTTTTACTAATGAAAATATCCTAAATTTCAGTTCGTAGATAATTTTTATTAGATACAAAAATTATAATATTAAAATAAGAAAAAGAACATTATTTAATAGGTATATAGCACACACGATACATTGCTCTTATTAGCTCGATATTTTATAGAAACTAATGTATACATTTTACTCCAAACATTGTACCGTACCCATAGAATTAGAATACTGCCTCTATGATCTTAGGTCCCTATGATCACAATGATCTATGGTACTATGTTTAATATCAAACTAAATAAAATAGTAATAAAGGCAGTGATTAGCTAATAGAGATTACCCGATGATTATGAGATTGATTTTTTTTATTATTATGTTAATATTCAAGCAGTAAAATCATTTAATTTAAATAAATATTGTACTCAATACTCCGAAACACTGATCCCAAAACAACAGATTTACTTTCATACCTATCTAGACATACTAAGAAAATAAATAGGTTATAAATATTCATCTATACACCTCTAAAGCCGTATAAATTGTTATTTGAAATTGGGTTTATATCTAAATGAAACAGTCCGCCTGTCCACCAGTGGCGCTTTTGTGTCACCTCCCAACTGCAACCGCAATGCGTCCAAACTCTGCCACAACTGTTGCATTTGACCGAATATTATGACTTCTAGCCGTTGGATAGACGAATGTAATTCTTCTGTAATGTAATTAAAATGAATTGTAATTAGGGATACTATAATAAAAGCTTAGATAGTAAATATTTTAATTTCTAATTTAAATTTTGACAGCGTCGCGTCGTAGTTCTAGTAGGTAATCTTTGTATTTTAATTTATATTTCTGACAGACTCTCTGGTGATAGTAACACAGATACCAAACGAAATGTGGGTATGTAAAGTATCGTATTCAATATTCAATACCTCTGAGATAATAGTTATTAAGGTATAATAATATATGGGCCGGGCCGTATGTTTGTTTGCCGCCACAGTAGTATAAAATAATACATAATTATAAATTCTGTGAAACAAAACAAATAATAGCATTACTTACCAATATGTAGGTATATATATGTATACTTCCGTAGCAATTTATTATTGTCACAAGTTCTCTAAAGTTGAATACGGCATTGTTAATAATAACCAACATGGATTAATTAAGATCAGTAACTCAAAATTTACTTTGTGTGGGTTGAATACCTACTTTCTGCTAAACTACGTCCAATTAAGTTTATATAGGTTAGCAAAATGTGAACTCTCGCTAGAATTCTGTTTTTCAAATACAGTAGATATCCATATTGAAAATTCCTTTACGTAGATGGATATAGACAGCTATTTTATATATTATCAGCCAGACAGTGCCATTGTCCTCTTGGTATGGCTATACACCAAGAGGACAGTGCCCGGAAAATAGACCTAGCAATTAATCAAATTATTTTAGAAACTCACTGGAAGTGACTACTCCGTGCAATCTCCTCGTGATTGTGGCATTGGCGGTAGCATTGACCTCGTGTGTCTTCACTGAACACATGGCCCGTGCCTCCTCGCGGGGCCCGTAGCCGTGGTAAGTGGAATTCCGCACCTCAATATATGGCGCCTTGTGGTTGTCTGGTGCATTACTCATAGTATAGCGAGGACCCCGCGCTGTAAATACATGTATGAAACATTTCAAGGCATTTTTTATATGTAGGCGGTATACCCAAATACGTAAAGTAGAACAAGCACATTGTTAGAGTAGATATTAACTTACTTACAGTATGTTATTTAAACAAGTAGAAAAGATGTTTTTTTTATATGCAATGGTAAAAAACTGAAAACAGTTATGTAACCAATTTTAAGAATCTATAATCTTTTTCCTATTATAATAAAATTAAAAAAAAATCCCACCAATTCTCCCATTACTATACTCACGATGCAGAGGCGTAAAATAAAAACACCTGCGTAAATTTGTAAATAGGTACACACATCTTTTCATTATTATGCTTGATAATTTATTGGCAAATTGATGAATGATTCATTTCATTGATACCGCGATTTTTTTATGAATGAATATGGAATAGTGCACACGTTTCAACTAACCGATGCCTGTCACAGATAAAATAATAGTACCAATACACTAGTTAGGCACTAATGAAGGATGATACCTCCAGGGTGAAGTTAGTTCAATTAGCCAATCATGGCTTATTTACTACACATTGACAGATTTCCAGGAGATTTTTAATAAATCCACCTTTTTTAGCGTTTAGTTACAAAGACACCGTTATTTTATTGCATATTACCAAGACCTTCTTATAGAATACGTACAAAGATAATAAATTCTAACACGTTCATAACTAAACTCAGTAGTGGCAATATGTATACTATATGTTCCTACTCTATGGTTATAGATACTATTCCATATGCACAATAACTGGTAGCTAACAAATTTGTATGTTGCTCTGCAATAAAAGTAAATAAAAAAATAATCAAAAGGGCAAAATTAAATTAATACAGCTTAACGAGGCATTGCATTATGGTTTACAACCATCACTGAACTATAATCCCCGTGTAAGTTTTTACAATTAAATAAATCCGACTCTACATGGTACCTATACCTACTGTTCATCTGTGGGCTGCAGCATCATAATACCTTCCATTTCATTTATCTGTATGGGGGCAGTAGTGGGCTTTACTAATTAAAACGATATTGAAAACTTCAAGCTAAGACTCTTCGTAATGGACCTGTAGCACATCTACTTTTGCGGGTGATCCTGACGGCAGAGCTATACGCTTACCATTTTTTTTTTCGGACTACTCTAATGCTGTCAGCCGTAGGTGACCTTTACAGCTTCACCGGACGTTAGGGGGCGAGTGAATATGGCACTTCAAACCCGCGGAAGGTCTTATGGAGCGGCTGAAGGCCAACTCCTGCCTGACGGATACGAATTCAGTCTGAGGGCACCACTAGGGGTTCGAACCTCGGCTCAGGCCGTCGTAATTTCGATCCCCGTTTGAATTGGACGGAGGATCGATCGGAGGGGACCGACGTTTGTTTGTAATTTGCCTTTAGGTGTTATATGTAATATATATGTCTAATTAAAATATCCATTATTCTAAGGACTACCCATGTCTTTCCTATTATATACCTACTGATTTTCTTACTTGTCTATACTTTGTTACAAGCAGGTCAATTAACAGTCAATTGTTAACGTTCTAAGTAGCAAAAACTCGTCATAAATCAACACCCAATCATTTTTTGGTAAGCAAGCCAAGGTTTTGAAGTATATACATGATTTAATACATATATATATTAACAGACATAATGTCAGATACCTATTTCTTGCTGTATTTTTACAAATTACGGAAATTTGTAAAACCCATCATCAATTATCGATTTAGTTAAAAAAATATATATTTTAATGTTAATATCCTATAGAATATTTTTAAGAAATAATTTAAATGAGAAGAAATATTAAGATAAGATAATGTTATTATAATTTACTATGAAAAATTCGAGGGCCTTTGTCTAGTTTGATATCTTCCTACAAATATTGTAACTTCCCCGGCCGAACCTAGACATTAAGTATATCCCCTACATCCCTCGAGAAAAATCGTATAAAGAACTCTGTATTAATGATGCTTTTTGTTGGTAAAAAGATTTTGAATTCCTTCCCGCATTAAGTTCCTCTGTTTTCGGAACAACAAATAAATATTGTTACTCTTTTTCTATTCGGTATTCATCAGATAAGTAGCCAACTACATGATAAAAAGTCAGAGAAGGTGACAATCATTTGACTTTCAAGCAATACTAGGTGCTATGACATCAGACAACGAATAAGTGTGGAACTCAGAAACAAATTAAAGCATCTGACACAGTATAAAAAACAACAATTAACAAAATACATAATTCGTTTCCCAAGTTTCATTGACCCAAAGTTGTATCTTTAATGCGAACAATATTACTGTTGGAAACTATTTTATATACCTTTTTTATTGTCTATATTTTTTATAATATTATATTGTTTTTATATGACATATCTAAGTCAATTTAATACAAAATATTCTACAACTACAACGGTGCCGTTTTACTTTTTGCTCGTCATCTTGGTCTCCATCCTTCACAATTACTTTATAAAAATATTAGATAGAATACTTAGCTGCCTAAAAGTGTTATAAAATTCTCATATCGCTAGTTTTACCTACTACTGCCTACGACATCATCTGCGTGAAATAGGAATGTAGAGTATAAAGCATCGTATGTTCAACTGCAGCCTAAGAGCTATGTATAGGATCTCAAAGACAAAATCATACATTTACGACTATATTAGTTATTTTGCCACTCATGCACATAATTTTTTTATAACTATATGAAACAATTTATTTGTACAATAAATATTAGTAGATAACAGTAGAACAGATTCCTAGACTGTAATTACGGGTCACCTTATACTTACCTAGGTATATATATGTCAATATATGGAATGAAAAATAATACTCAAAGAGTTTCTCATCATAATAATATGTTATAAAAACAGGCTAGGTAATTAAACTCAACTGAAACAAAATTTTAACTTAGTAAATACCTACTTAAACCTCATTATATATTATTAAACCGCTCTATGGTGCCAAGATATAACAACTGAAACGAATCCATTCCAATATTATAAATGTGAAACTATGTCTGTTTGTTACCATTTCCCTATGAACCGCTATGGACCGTTATAAAATTTTATATGAATGTAGATTGTGTCACATGAATAGATATAGATTATCTATATTTATAAAAAAGTATACAAAGTTTAATAATGTTGAATAATCCTTATAGGTACTTACAGTGATGATAAGCAGGTGCTGTCCTGACCCTAGACACTATCACAATCGTAAGCACTACGGAAACTACAAAAGTTCGAATCATTTTATAAAATCTTATCTGTACAGCAGAAGAACAATAAACATAATATTTATTTACTCATTTTCTTATTTGACTCCATTTATTGTCTATTATCTACTTGCTTTTATTTTTTTATTTTATAATAGTGATTAATTTATATCTCCTTAGGAGTTGACTAGAGTGCGGTATTGACTAAGAGCGTATAGTGTATGAATGGCAAAGGTTACGCCGGGAACTGTGCGTTATGAACTGCTTGATCAGAGATTATATAGTAGGAAGTGTACTATTATAGAATAGGTAAAAACTGAACACAGACAGATGTCATGACAGTATAATACGGGTACATATACATGTTTCATGAATTCGACATGCTACTAATAAAGGTACTCATAGATCCTATATACCTATATAGAGAATAGTAGATATAGAACCCCAAAAGTTGTAATATAATCATATAAAAAAGATTTTCAAATTAAAATCCTCATCCCTTTTCAGTTCTTGATATTCTCTAATTATCTGGAAAATACATTTCAATTTAACTCAATCTATTTTAATGAAAACCATGTAAATTAAACAGCTTTATAGGTAAAATATATACGATATTACTAACAATTGAATCAAAAATCTCTATTGTTTCTCTCGCAGAAAGAAAATAACAATTATATACAATAATATGTATACCAAATATAAAAAAAAACATATTCTTACTTGAAATAAGTATATTAAAACCTTCAATTTTAGAATTATGTATAGATCACTCTTAAAAATTGTTGCGCTACATAAAGCATTTTTATATATAAATAAATATAACGTTAAATATATAACGTGGTAGCTAACTAATACCTCTCTATCTCTATATCTATCAATATCTATAGAAATTATCATGATACTAAAAAACGTGTGAGTACATCGGTACATTATTTAAACAGTAACCAGGCATGTTTCTTTAACAGATTTGCGATAGAACTATTGAAATATTTAATTATTCGTAAATCACTATAAATTGTATACAAATTCGCATAAACCGTATACAAAAGTTATTGCTAAACTATTTCTGGCAACACTGACTGACTATTAGCTGAAATCCCTTAAGGCAACAAGTTCACGACCTTGATAGAAATAACTGAGTATTTCCAACCCAACATGAATTTCTTTCCGTACTACTACCGATCCGTACTACTACTACTTCTACCGTACTCTAAAAGTTTTGCACGGACCATTTGTTTTTCATCCTCAGCTTTACTATGTTTACATAATATAATAAAATCCCGAAGAGAAAGAAACTATTTGCTTGTGTGTTTGTGGGTTTAAAATATTTGGAGGATTTACGCAAAAATTATCACATAATATGTTGTTAAATATGGATACTCCCCAGAAGGCTAAAAATATATTCGCGATGTATTAAAAAAAATTTGAAATAAGATATTTGTACAGATATGGATAAGTAAGGTACCTTCAAAAATCAAGATGTGTGTGTGTGTGTGTGTGATGTGGTTACTATCATTACAAGAGTAGTCAATATAAGGTCTTTAACCATTTAGATGAAGGATGACATATGGTACCTATAACTGAATAAGCGTATCCAATGTCGCGTCATGGTAGATATATTAACATCTCATTTAATCGGCATTTCTGGTAATTGGACATGGTCCTATTATACGTAGAGAGGTGACCCATTTTGCGTAAATAGGTACCGACCGAAATTATCAATAGGCGTGTGATTAATTTAGAAATTTAAACGTTATAAAGCTATGGAATTCTCTTTATCTATATTTTCATTGCCAACACACTGACCGACTGATATTTAGTTTGAGATATGTATAACATCAGTAAAATCGTCACTAATTACATGTACAATAGAATATTTGTGGACAAACTAGCTGTGTCCGCTGTTTCACCAGTGTGAAATTTATAGCCTATGTGTTATTCTGATGTATAAGCTCTATTATTACAATAATAGAGCTTATACATCAGAATAACACATAGATCAGAATTCATTATATAGATCAGAATAACACATTCATTAAAATCCATTCAGTCACAAACTTCCGCGTTTATAATATTAATAAGATAGTAGATAAGATAAATTAAAATTATCATTAGTTAATTTCTAATAATAAAATATCTAAGTCAACCATCACAACGTACCCACCTAATTGACATCTATCATGCTAGGGGTCTGTCATTCACCTAACATCGTCTAATGAATGGCCTACATTGAAATCTGTTATAAATGGGATCTATATTTTATTAGAACGATTGCCCAATTAACAAATTAACTGACTTTTCTTCAACGGAATTTTAATTGATTTATAGACGCGACCGACTTTAGGATATCTACTCTTAAAATTGGTTGCTAAAAATTTGGTAAGCTGATACATATTATAACATAATACATGTAACATCTGTCCAGGTACTTTAACAAAGGGTTGTTAAGAAGTTTATAGTTAGTACCTATCGAACGGAATTGATCCTTTCAAATGAACTGTTAAGGATTAATTTAGCTGTTAAGGATATATCAGCTTTGCTTCTCAATGAAAGTGGTTCTGTTGCATAATGACTATCTTGTTGATGTAACTTTTAATAAAGAACCCTGTATTCCAAGGATAATTTTTATAGTCTAAATAAGATGACCTAACAAGGTATACTTATACCTAATCTACTAGATATAAAACTACGCTTTATAGTCATACAACATGTCAAGTGTGGATACAATGACATCACATTTATGTATTATATTTTTAGTGTGGATGCTACATTATCCAATGTCTTTAACAAGATCAAGGTAACACTTGCGGTGCATTGATTGTCATAATCTCCATAAAACATGATCTTATATCTATACATAGGTATACCAAAGGCCCCAACTGATCTCCAAAGTCTACTCTATAAAACAAATGACGGCAGGCGGCGTGCCTGTGTTAAAAGTAGGTACATCTCACAATTATTAGGTTTTGAACATTGTTACCGAATGCGTTCATTCGTAACTCCGCACTCAATACACGTCGTCAACAGTCATAAATCTCAGTCTAACTATCGATAAACCAATCCGAAAACATTTCGACAACTGGATATGAATCCATCATTAGTAACCTATTTAGGTTATTTATTTACGACACTTGAGCTGACGAAAGCATTATATTTTAGGTATCTAGGATTTATAAGTACACTATCTGACATTAGTTTAATGTTACTCTAAGATCTTAATTATAAAGAAGTTTGGTTAAGATGGTTATAATCACTACAATCAGTATTGTACATAACTATTTTTATACGGAAATACAAGAAGAAAAATGTAGTAGCGTTACGATTCAAAAATTGCTGTTACAGAAACATTTATAAATAAAAAAATCATAGACATTAACTGTGAAATAGATTATTACATAATGGTTATAATAGTACAATTACCTGCCACATTTGCCATTCATGAGATATTCAACAGATGCGTATCATATTCAAGGCTTTATGTTATAGCGATAGGCATATCATTATCAAAATGTATTTATTAAACACCTTTGAAACAAAACCATATTCAGTCACAATAGCTGAACTCTTAAAATAGTTCGTATATAGTTAAATGTCTGTGTGTCCATATGTAATCACTTAAACTAATATAGGAGCGGCGTGTCCTCAGATTTAATTCATTTATTCGTTGATATGTGTCAAGGTCCTAAAAACCATACGGTTTAAATCTCATTGATGTGTTTCCCTTTGTTGTGATGGGAAAATTAATTCAATTAAAATACGTATTATAATAGCTGACAGTAATAGATATTCAAGCATTTATTGAATGGTTATAGTATAGTATGGTCATCAATTAGATGAAATAGGTGCATTCTGTACATAGATTAAAGATAAATACAAATAGGTACATCAAATATAGATAATTCAATAAAATGTCCGCGGCATTAGCATGTTTATTACTAGAATGAATCCTTCCTTTATAAACTTGTAAAGTATTCATTGAATTTGGAGTTCTAGAAGTGTATTGGATTAGTCAGTTGTTTACAACAAGTTCATTGTAGTGTTGAAACCGTGCTTTCTGTGTAATCAGTTAATTTTGATATTAGAAGTAGATAGATATGTCTCTCTAATATTCGTTTGGTATTTACAATAATTTGATACCTTTATTAAGATATACCTACCTAGCGATTATGTAGTATCACTGCTCACATTTAAATGTGTTTGGTAAGATACCTACTATTGTACTACTGTAGCAAGAATAATTTTAGTATTTACAATGAAATTTGAAAATTAAAATTAAAAAGACAATAGCGTACAAATACATTATATTAATTGATAGCAAATTCCCTAAAATAATACTGACCAATATAGATCTGATTTATTTATCTCTCAGTACAAATCACTACAAAATTCAGCATGTAGAAGGTACTCACTTTCCTGTACCAATCTTGCAAAACGTAACGTATGAATGATACGAATTTAAAATGGAAAAAAGTAAGTGTTATAAGAGAGTTAGAAAGTTAAAAAGATTCTGACATTATTGGAGACAACACTCTTTTCCAGAGTGGTGGCTAAAAATATAATATCGTGCGTATACATAGATACATAGTATTGAGAGATCTTCCATTAAAAACTGAATGACGCAGTTGAAGATACTTCAGCTTCGTCATCCAGGCTTCAGAGAAGATTTCCTCTTGCTTAGACGTTATAGAGCAATGATGATAGTACTCGTAGGAGTCCACGAGCAAAGTTTACATCGATAGAGATTTTGCATGTGAAATAATAAAATTAACATTATTATTTAAAAAATTGCAATCTATATCTACTCACCAATTAATGATACACTGTATGACTAATTGCTACCTACGTTTAATAAAAAAAATAGTTTAGGTGGTGTACGTATCTCCAAATATCGACAACAAAATTATTATAACAATCAAATTGAGTAAACTATACTTTCATATATCTATTTACTTACCTATATTTTAAATTAGACGTTGCACAATATATAGAATTATGTTGATAATATCCAAGGCTATGTAAAATTTAATAATGACCAAGATTAT